CGTCTCTCAGATTTGCCCATAAATAAAAAACAGCACCGACAAAATAAGTAATATCACCATAAATATAAAGTGTATTTTGACCATAACCTTTTGGATTTTGTAATATTTGAATATTATAGGTTATATAAACAAATGAACTCAACGTTGTGAATGTATATGCTACTGTATCGGGATCATCTAATGTAAAACCACGACCAATTGTACGTGTATATGTTCGATACCAAGACATGATCCTAAATAATAGAAAAAAAAACATTCAATTATTCTTTATTGAAATTCAATTAACCATCCAAATGATGCAAATAATTCAACAAATGCTGCAACTGTTTCAATTATATGAATTGCTGAAGTATAATAATCATAATAATCCTCTTGTGCTGCTTTTGAATACCATATAGCAGTCCATAAATATAAAGCTGCTTCAATATGATTTAAATATTCAGGTAGCATAATAACATCATTCCAACGATGATCTATTTCATGAAAGAGAAATAAATAAAAAAACAAAAATAACTTAATTTACCTTTCCATGCCCACCAATACAATGTAGCAGAAATAACATGTATTACTCCTAAGGCTAAAACACAAATCAAATTTGAATGTAAATATTGTTCATGAGTAACATCATCACTTAATGAAAAGAAAAATCAGTCAGAGACAGGATCGTTTGGCGTTTTTTGGTATCATCAAATAGAGCTAGGCAAGGACAGGATGGAACAGAAAACGTTATTCTGTTTCCAGTTCTGTTTTTAATATTTTCTTTGTCATTGTGTCATTTTTTTATTAATTACTTTTTCATTTTACTATTTTTTTTTCTTAATAGTATTCACTATATTGTAAAAAATGATGATAAAATCTCACAAGTTCATTATTGTTTTATATTTCGTTTCCATTGATGAACGTGTCATTCATACAAGGATTTTTATTGTCCTATCTTGCCATCGACTATGACGCAGTAAGGCATCAGACTAGGGCATGACAGAAAAAGTTATCCTAGGTCCAGCTCTGCCATCAATCTTGTTAATTTTATCAGTTTCTTTTTTAACACCTCAGTTTTTCTCATTACACAGATTAGTCAAAATATCTTAATACTAAGTCAATCGGAATCCATTGACGAATTGTTATCTGCATTAATATCAAAATAGTACGAACAATTTGCATTGTTTCAATTCTTAAAAGTTAAAAATCGATAAACAAGTTATAAATCTTTATGTTTACTCTAAAAAATAATCGAGAAAAATTTATATAAGTACAAAAGAAACTGCCAAAAAAATTATTATTTTTTATCTTTTTACAATAAATATTTAGTTGACTTTAAGATGTTTAAAAAGCATGAAATTAAGCTCAGGATGAATGATGAGAAATACTTTAAACCGATATGCATTTGATGTCAATTACATTGAAATAGAATCCGTTTTGATTATCCAAGAAAGGACATCAGACCCTAAAATTTTTGGAATCTCCTATTTTTTCTCTCCTGTTACTTATAAGCACGTTATAGAGAAAAAAGAATACTTCTTAATTAATTCTATCTATAATTTAGTTGTGTCAGCTAACTTCTGATAGAAACACCGATTATTCAAATGCAATTGAAAGTTTTAAGAGTGCAATAGTATTATTATCGTCTATTTCAGTGATTTATTATACATAGTAACTATCTGGTATCTGACAAAACTCAATAGTAGAAAGTGAAAGAACAGAGCTTTGACGATGTTATTGCTGAACTATTCGATGTATGATTCTTTGATTTTGTGATTATTATTACTCACCAATATACATATTATTGACTATAACTGTATAGTCCACCCCTCCTTCTTCTTCAGTGCTATTGGCATCAGTAAAATTGCCACAAATGCACGGTTCTTCGTATGTTACTGGTCCTCCATTGATTGCTGGTGAAAAATCAATAAGCATAATACCAATAGCATATATCTAATTACAATTTTTTACAAAGAAAAGTGAATTTAATTAAATGTTTGCTTACAAGATAAACAATATTAGACAGAAAGTATCGATTACGAACTGTTTTGCTTGCACATATTGGAGTACGTTTTTTAATTTGTTTCCATGTTAAAGCGTGCCAAAAAGAATCGAATACTTCTAATTCGTTAAAGGGTGCTGTTGGATCATTTTCTTCGTCGTCAGCCATTGGAAAGATTATTATTTATCAGAAAATATACATTAATTTCTGTATATTGATTAAATATGTTAGTAAATGTCAAAAAAACTGACAAGCATCAAATTATACTACCTGATCGAAAAGATTATAATCAATGGAGAAGTCGAAACAGTATTTTGATTTTTTCGTACAGAGTTTTCACTATTTAAATCAATTGAAAGAGTTTATCATTTATTGCATTGGCTTGTATCATAAAAAGAAATATCGTATTCTTTTTGAAATTAAGTACTTGTGTCTCTTATTTTCAATTACTTTTTTATGGAGTTGTAGGAGGAAACGTCGATGATTATCTGCTTTATAATATAGCTCTTACTTTATTTTGACTTCTTTGATCTTATCAATGTACTTTTTCAATAGTTGGTGTCTTGAATAATAATATGCATTCGAGATCACCAACGATGTTGTACTCAAAAACAAAATTTTCCTTGTCAACAGTTGGTACTTTCTCAATGGATTATTCTACAAAATCTTTTTTTTACATACAACATTTATTTCTTATCTTTATTACTTGGATACTTTGGCTCCGTTTTTCAGTAGAATTTTAGACTCGAAATACAACAGGTACAATGAGGTCGCTGGTTTTTGCGAAAGGCAACAAACATAGTTTTAACTAGTAGTTAATCTGCAGCTCTCGTTGCTTTTTGTGAAACACTACAATAGTGGTGTTGAAATTAAAAGGTAAACATTCAGATCTCGTATCTCACAGAATGATAGACGTTGCTAATTTACGATCACAAATCGTATATCAACAACATCTTGTTATGATATATGAAGAATCAATCAGTTTTCTGTAATTAGTAGCAGTAGCTACATAGAGTTTTATATTTTAATCCTACAAGGATTGTGCTTACAGGTTTTTTAATCAAGTCAATTTCGAGTTGATCATTTGTAATGATAATCGTAATTGTCATTTACAATCAAAAATGTCAGTTGAGGTAAACGAATTTACTGCTTTAAGCTAAGAGTGTACTTTGTGGAAGAAAAGATGAGACTTCATTCCTTTGTTTTCCGAAATTTGTCCGCGATACGTCTCATACTTTTGAAATATGCTTTCAATCCCAGTACAATGACAAATATTGATATTCTATTCCTACAGAGAGTTGCTGAATTGTTTCTATATGTTTATTCTAGCGAAATTCTTTTCTCTCATATTGCATAATCTAAACTATGAGTTTTCTTAATTTATTAACTTTGTTTGATTAGCTTGAAAGCTTTATCACAGATTTCATTGTGTATCTTCATTCTCTAGTCACATCTTCTTATTTTCAGAGATTTATTAACAAAAGTTTTTTTAAACTAAAAACAGCAGTTAGATTTCCAAAATTTCGTCTCAATCACCTGTAAGTTTCGTCTTATCCAATCGGATGAAGATCCAAAAACGAACAGATCGATCTACCTACAGTTTTGAAAACAGTATACATTTATTGTTATAGAATGAGATGGATAATAGGTTGGTGGTAGATTCAATCCATTTGAAAAACGTTTTAATTGTTTTCAATATTAATAGCTAGACTATATTTTTAATAGATTATCATGAACAAATAATACTCATTTCAATATTTTGAGATATACCATGAAGCTTTAGAGTTAGAAAGTGCTCCTGCAAGGGTTTGGAAATCAGAAGAATTGATTTCACCGCAACAGATACTTTGATGCCAAATAAGAATTGTTATGCGAGAAAAACATATGACATCGCTCACATCAGCCGAACAACTGCAGAACCATTCTTCTAGATTTTTCATCTCAATCTTCATTGTTGAATGCGTAGTAGTCCCATACATACTGCGAATCATATGTCTTGAAGTAAAGATTAGTCGGACAAAGTTCAACGATCAATTTAAGCTGATTTTCATCAAGAATAGAGAGTTTAGGATTATCAATCATATAGCTTTTCTGATGCTTCATCTAGTACTTATCGAAGTTAAAAAATATATTCAAATATTATCATTTAGAATCAATCACTAATTAGTGAATCTGATATTGCGTACATCCTGTGTACATGGCTGAAAAGTTGACTATTTGTGCATCTTATGTCTTCAAGTGTCACCAATTTTCACTTCGATTGATTTATTACAGACACTTTCACAATCGATTTTATCTCTCACAAGGCATTAGCATTCACGCTACTGAATTTTTCATGTTTTCTATACCGATTGTGTCGCTGTTCCAATAGAGTTAAATGTATTCTTTAACAAGGTATACGTAATGATCCACCAAATGAATACTTGAGTTTACTTCAGCATATGGATACAAGTACTATTTATTCATTATATGTTCAGCTAATATCTGCTCTTTCTGAATGGCTTATATGGTTATTGATGCAGAGTTAGAAGTGATAAAAATGTGTTCTAAATGGATTATATTTGTCATCAGACGATGTTTTGTTTCATTCTCCATTGACATGAATACTTGTTTTGAAAAACTGAATGTGCAATGATTCGTTCTTTTATACGAGCTCGTTCTTTGTCAGGGTTGTCAAAATGATCTAAAAACTCTTTCGTACTCTCTTTCTTCAACAGCAGACCATCTTTTTTTCTCTTGTTGTAGTTATGATAACAGCTAAGAATTAGGAGGATTGTTGAAATAAGAGAGTCTTCTTGGAATGTTTATGTCAAAAAATCGAATAAAAATTCTTTTAAATGAATAAAACAATATACGATTTACACATAGAGAAAGATCACCTTTTTTTGTGTTATAAACATAAAGTCGACTATTTATTTGAATAAGTTTTCTATCATTCAACAACAGTGTCATAAAAGAAGCACAGAGACAATAAAAAAGAAAAATTAGAAACCAATGAAGAAGGATAATCGTGTGTTTTTTATTGTGAGAATTGAAATTCATTTTTTAATAATCGTTCAGCAAGTTTTGATTTTTCTTTATAATTGTTAATCCAAATATCCAATAAATCTTCTATACATTTAATTGTTATTGGTTCACCTAAATGTGAATTGAGTAAATGAAGAAGAAAAACTCCATCGCGTTGTAACCATTGAACAAAATCTTTTCGATGATCGGCAACAATTGACAAATCATTTTCTCCTCTATTATCTACTGTTGTAACTTTTATTGAATTTTGTAACATTGATTTACCAGGTGTACTTTTTGGTCTGTTTTTAGCTTGAACTAAACGAATAAATTTATCGATAAAACGATAGCGAAAAAAGAATAAAACATAATTATAAAATGAATACATAAATGAGATAATTGATATTATAAAAAGTATAGCAAACCAAATCCACATGGCAAAATAAGCTTTTTCATAGAATATATTTATCAATAGTATACACTAAAGAAAAAATAAATTTTATTTCTTTAAATTTTTATACTTTTCTTGCTACATACCTCAATTGTATAATAATGGTCTTGACCTAATTCTCGTATGTGAAAATCACATAAGGTAACAAATGGAAATAATTGTTGATGTTTGTGTGATAATTCACTTATACGTTCACGTATTGATGACTGAAACACATATTTCATAGTATCAAAACCAAAACGAAAAAACCCATATGTTCCTGTTGATAAAATAAAATTTAATACAACCACTTGTAGAATAATATTAATAATATAGAGTAGTTTAATAAAAAGATAAAGTATGACAAGAAAATATGTATGATATCGAATACGAAATGATATATTTGGTAAAAGAAGAGGTTCAGAAGCATTATCAATACTTTCATCAACATTATGACGAAATAATAATTTTTTTTTACATTGTGCTAATTGTCTACACATTAAATAACGTTCAATTTCTTTTGCAAGGCGACGACTTATTTCGGGTTTATCACCAAACTTCTTTCCTTGATTAACCATTAAACCTGGATTTAAACCATTTCGTTTATAAAAACTTATCCAAATTAAATGTGGTAATAAAAAGAAAAAAGCTTGAATTAAATAAACAAATGGTAACCATTGATAATAACGAAGTGTATGTTGTAAACGTTCATTTTTATTCATTGGTAATCGTGTATAAGTTTGAGGATAAAAATATGTATTATTTAACAAACATATAGTACGCGCGAATGTTCTATAACCTTCAGTAAATTGAGCTGGATCAATACATTGGATTGGATCAGCATAATGTTGAAGACTTGTTGATGCAATTGCAAATATAATTAGTACAGTAAATGTTATTTGGTAATGAATTTGATCGGATAAAAAATCTTTATTTGTCTCAATTTTAACAAGACTACGACTGAATTTTAATATCGTTTCAGCCATGATCTAAAATAAATATCAATTAAAATATTTTCTTGCTTAATCAATGCAACGACAAAGTTGAATATAAATGTCTGTATAATGTTCGGTTGAATATCAGTTACTGGTTAATAACAAACGTATGAGTGTATGCACATGTGTTCGTTCTTTTGCTTGTCATAGGTTGTCCTTCAATGTAACACACATCAATGGTGATTCAATGATAGTCATTGTGATGCCTTCGAGTTGTAATCACATGTATAAAGACACAATGTCAATAGTTTTACGATGAATTGACATTTGAACGGCTGCTCTGTTTTTTCCGTCTCTTTCTTTTTATATTCCTAAACAGTACAATATATAATAAGATTCTCCTTTTTCTTTGCTTTACATTTTTTTTCTGTCAGTTCTCTTCTATTTTTCTATACTCATTGGTATGCTACTGAAGACTGGCAAGAAGAAAGCAAACGGTGGCAATGTAATAATTATATAATACATGGTCTTTTTCTCCCTTTTTCTTCTCGAGTAGTGATGATGATCGATTGGCGGTAGTTGTATAGCACGCGTACTGCCGCGTTTACTCCTTTCTCTTATCCTTTTCTTTTTTTTTTCTTCTACCTTGTCTCGAACTGGTTCTTCGAAGGAGGAAAAAAACGCAACAAAACGGAGTATAGGACTAGAGGCGTCTTATCACTAATCATAAGTATAATGTATCGAAATAAATCATCCGTTGTGTGAAAGCAACATAAACAATTATAAAACCAGATACAGGCTAGCAGAAGGAAACATTTATAAAATCTGTTACAGATATTCATGTTCTTTTCTTCAACAAAAGAAAAAACTCGCTTGCAATTATGAAGAAAAAAAAACTGTTGAATATGATACGAAAAATAAAATTTTCAATGAATCATTCATAAGAAAAAACATATATTTATAATTTTAGTTGAAAACAAAACATAGTGAAAGTTCTTTGAGAATATCTTACCAAAATTCAGGATAAATTGATAGGTTTATTCGAAGTCTTTTTATCCAAATAATAACTTTTAACAATCAGTAAATTATTACCTCGATATCGACTCAATATATTACTCAATTTCTTACCATAAAGTGTTGATGTAAATTTTATTTATAAAAAACTACTCCAAAAACTATTTTTCTAAATCTTAGAGATAACCATTTCAACGAATACGATAGACAAGACGAGATGATTGTTTTGAAAATTTCTCAAAACACTATCGAAAATATGAACTTAATCAGAGACGAGATAATTAATAGATTTCTCCATCATATAGATTGAAATAGTTTCGAAAAGATGTAGACATTGTATTCGTTATTTTGACTAAATACGAATGAAGATAAAATTAAAATAAAGAAAACATACAATCATTTTAGAACTTACAAAATATGGATTATTTATTGAGTTTATTCCATATAGCACAGTCCTGGTCACTAGCCTCGATTTTCCCATGAACTGCAGTTTGTGTACGAGAGAGGCGGCTGAATTTTTCAGTAGATATATTCTACGATGAGCGCTGATCATCAATGTTGTTCACGCTAAAATTACTTGAGTCAAAGTCGACTCATAATAAGTAGAAGTTGTATTTCTTGTGAATCTTATAAATCGAGAAAACAAAAGACCGTCTGACTTGATCATGACCTTATGATGCAGTAATTTATTCGAACTATTTACAATATAAATTTAATTGAAGTTTATTGAATCATTGAAGAATTATGATAATTTTACTGCAAATATCAATGTGCAAGAAAACCATGCAAAATCATTGCGAGACTTATAAGTCAATGAAAGTTAGACGAGTTTATCTAAAAGTTTCAAAAACAAACATTATAGTCAATTGTAAGTCAAGAAAAATCTTATGCAGAGCTTCATTTTCACAGTAAATAATCAATAATTACTGATATGGGTGAGAAGGTACTGTAAGATGTTTCAAAATACCTTTTTTTTAATGTTATCAGCAAAAATAAAAAAATATACACTTGTATTCTTTTTAAAAAGACATTTTTTATACTCGTCATTATCAATTTGACTATGATATATTTGAACGTATCGGTGAAGAACTTTATTACACATTTTGGTGTATTGTAAGCTGAATATGTCTTCATCCTACACAGATAGCTGAATTTTCTTGTTCAATCGAAGTTGCGAACGAGTGACATAATTTTTCCTTTTTTTTCTAAAAACATTAAAAAAGGCCTCATATAGAATCTTTCGCTGTATTTTCTCAAACATATCAATAATTATCGATTGTTTAATATAAAATAGCCTAACATACGTTCTTTCTTTACTTAAAATATAAACCTATTTGTTTGAGAACTAGATTTCTTGGAGTCTTGACAATGGCTCAATAATGATCAGTGCATATGATTCCTACCTATTATAACTCGATGTTGAATCGAGCAACTGTAACAAGAATGATACCGATAATCATTACTCATCGTAGAATATTTCTACAAAAGATTTCTCTTACAATAATCGTAGCTCATGAGAAAGTCGAGACTTTCAGTCAACACTGTATATGTAAAATACAAAAAAATAATTTTTTTTGGTTTTTTTAATACTATTTTCAACTTGATAAGATAGATAACATATTTTGGAAAGAAAACTATCAAATGATATGTGAACTACGAGAATGTATTTCTTCATCAGATGTTAATAACTTTCATTAACTTACCATGATTTTTTTAAATAAAGAACTCATTGAACCAGAAAGAAAGTAGAATCTTCGGCTATTCAACAACATAATCACGTTCGTCAAATGTTATAAACACAGAAAACTATGTAGGATGAGAGCGGTGATGAGTTCAAACTGCCTTTATACTTGGTTTGTTGTTCAACTAGAATAACAATTCACAGAAAGTAAAAATTTTTCTGCTAGGCCATAATAAGTGAATATGCATGCTAGTGTAACTTATTTTGAATTAGAGTAAATCAAGTCGATATTCTGATGATATATATCTTGAGTGCTCCGTGTCTTTATTCTTTTTTGAACTGAAATTATTTTCATGCGCTATTTTTAATCATACATGAGAACATATATGTTATTGTCTTAACGTCAATAACTTTCTTCAGCAATACGAATACCTACACCCATAAACAGGCGTCTTCTTTCCATATTCTCTAAGCTGCAATATTTTGTTTTAAATTTATTATCGAATAGAGGTATGATCTAAGTATTTCATTTGATTAGATCAGTTATCAACAGAGCATCTCTTCCATTACGCTGTTATCAATGTGTCATCGGATTTCGATTGAGTATTCTGCTGACAATAGTCTCGTACAAGGATACTTAATAGGTATCCGCTCAGTTTCTATAGAGTTTTATGAGAAACTTCTCAACTAATTAGTGGATTGAATATTTACAAGCATTTCCTATTCAAGTGCTAAAAATCTATAAAGTATCTAAAAATTCCTGTGGCATACTAGTAGCAGAATACCCTGAACTCAGTACATTTATTAGGGTGCGTATGTCTTTTCATATTATTAATTAATGTTTCAGCCAAACTAATTGGCAGATGTTTTGGTGCTGTTTTTATTTCTTGTTCGAATTTCGTTTTGCTTATTATCTCCTCCATAATCGGCGAGATATTTCTAATTTGATTATAATTCGATGACGAAATGGGCTAGAGTAGAACTTGAATTTGATTGTCAAGTTTTCATTCCATCACTAAACGACATTTTTGTTTAGAATCTTGATTTTCTTGTCGAAACCAACTTGTAGAATCTTCAGAATAATTACCGTTCAGTACTAGGCAGAAGGTCATTTCTGTAAAGATAGCATATTAAGGGTACCGGTGTTGGTGTAGGTCATCTCTTCAGTCCCATCCACACTGACACCTTACACCCGCACAACACACTGTCCTCTACAAGGTATCAAAAAATCAAACAAATTGGAGGTAGTCAACGGCTAATGTTATACCACAAGCGTCTAGTTTTCTCATGGATTCACTTTTAAACTAGGCACATAATACTTCTTTTTTAAGCATTTATTTGCTCATATTTGATCGAAAGCACTTCTATGAGAAAGAGTTTTCAACAAAAATGATCGTACAGTTTTGCTTTTATGAAATGGTGAGCGAAAAATTGAGCCACATATTTTTGTCCTTCCGCGAGTGCCCGCGAGAGACCAAACCAAAATGCATCAATACATTTTTCGTCTGTACGATTCTCACGGGTGCTGTCAAGTTGGTGTTCTGCGGGTTTTAGTTCGTTTAGTAGCTGGGCAAAATCGACACAGAAGCATGTTTTTCCTTCATCGTCGCCTTCAAAGAACCACAATGAAGTGTTGCAGGATTTAACAACCACTGTAAAGTAGAAGCGCAGGCGTGCCTTGCGAGCAGTTATCTGCTCCACGCAGTTTTTGTAGTACTTTTTGCAGAGATAGCCGTTCATCGGCAAACTTAGCTCATCATGATTAACAAAACTTATATTATGTATGTTGCGCGGAAACTCGAAATCGTCGAGTCGAACGAATTCAACGACATGTTATTGTGGCTTGCTGGAAAGAAAGACAGATGATTTAAGGAGGTAATAATGCTTGTCATTTTCTTCATCTTAGTACCAAGGATCACTACGATTTTGAGGATTGAATTTGACTTGTGGAGCCATTCACGTCTTTGTTTAGGGATGTCTGTGTGGTTCTCGAAACCTTTGCATAACACTAGAATACGAGATGCTGCCGAACATTTATAGTCAATCACTTCTACTCAGTAATGGTTCCAATAGCCACCGATGTTCTGTCGCAGAATGTCCTTAAAAACAGGATTATAGAAGAAGATGTAAAATTAATTTGCACAATGACATGTTGTTTTGTCTTTATAACAATGTCTAACCTCATTTCTCATCATGCGAAAATGGAGAACGGCGAAACCATATCTACATGTATTCTCAAGTGCCATATTAGGGGCTGTTCAAGTAAATTTTTCACCGGGCAACATGTCCTGAATTAGTGACCAGTCGTTGACAGGTACTCCTCGTAGCTCTTGTTCCTCAGAGACGTAGAGCGCCG